AAGAGAATGCCTTTTTTTTTTGCTGCAAGGTGTCATTATTTTTATTTTATAATCCAAAAAAAAAAAAAAAAAAAAAAAAAAAAAAAAACTTCACTGTCTCTGTGGAAACACAGCAGCCTGAGGTCAGATTAACTAGGAAAAAGGCCAGTTGGCCCCGCCTGAACCAGGTTGGTGTTAAGACTTAAAAGTAGATCAGTGTCTGAGGATATAAAAACCAGCTCAACCATAAAGTCTGTCAGAGACATACTGACCTGCACGCTGCACTGGGTATCTATCTGAAGAGAATCACATTTCAAAAATAATTTATATCCCATCTACCTGCTCTGAAGCAGCCACCATGGTTCTGGAGGAGAATGATGACTCTGTCTTTGAGCCCCAAATTACCGTGAGTATGACAATAAAAAACACGTTAGTGACATAGATCCATGTTTTTTGATTTTCTTTTAGTTTGCATTGGTCTATTTTCTCTTTTTTTGTGGTATGGTTAACTTATTTACAAACAAATCATAGGATATAAAGATTAGGTTTGTCCACATTAATGTTGGCAACTTTGGTAAAAGTAGCAAAGCACAAACTAAACAATGCCAGGTATTCTCTTCAATGTAATTTTACTAAAGTGCAATCTGCATTTGTTCGTTGGCCAAAGTGGACAGCATGCTTGATGGAATGCACTCTGAAGCAGTGTGACCTGATCATATCTATGTAAATGTTGTGTTAGGAGGAGCACGTGGAGACTCAGTATGGGGACGTCCACTGCATCTTGACAGGGACTCCAAAAGCGAATCAACCCGTCATCCTGACCTTTCATGATGTTGGACTGAACCGTAAGCTACAGATCTATCAGCGGTGATCCTGTAGTTTACCTTTAAGGATCTGTACTGAAATTAAATAAGTTCATCAAAATGTTGTAGCTGCTGAAGAATCAGTTTCTAATAGAATTACAATGAAATACACATCTCTTAAGCTTTATTTCCATCCAAAGAAGTTAATTTGATAAAACCTTTTCACTTGACTCCACCAACATTTTTTTTGTCTATATTGTCATATTTCCTCTACATGTCAAATGATTCATATGTGTTAGTTGAAAGAAGCATCAATGTGAGTAATTAACATAAGAATGTATGTATATGTGTATTTTTTTCTTTCCAGAT